TATAATGTCTCCATCATGCAGGTGTGGCTATCACACTGAATCTATAAAACATTTCCTCTTCTGTCCAATATTTGCTGCCCAAAGGTCTAAGCTGTTCTCCTCCGCTGCCGAGAAACTTCCCGAAGGGTGGTCAAGATTGACGGATGAACAAATTATGGAAATATTTCCCTTTGGTTCCCAAATGCTGTCGTTGGAATACAACACGGCAATATTTTCTTATGTTCAGACTTATATTAAAGAAACAGCACGTTTTTATTTCAACAATTCTTGACACCTATCGTGTTAGTTTTCAAACATTAAAAACCGTGTGTGCGTGACAGTGTATATTTTTAATTTGTAATGAGTAAGCCCCCTTGATGAGTGTGTACGCTCTTGGGGCAAACTCAATTTCTCAAAATATGTTTAAATAAATAAATAAACTAGAAGATGGCCATTTCTGTTGCCCCCACTTCGAACCCTGTAACTATAGTATAATTAAATAAAGTTCAGAGTTTGTAATTTACATATTTTGAACAAAAATAGACCTGTGGATGCACTTGTCCCGTTTTTAAACTTATATTGGGCCAAGCAAAGCCAAAAAGTCCTTTGAATATTGCGTAATGTTTTTGACTGTAAAAAAGTCGCCATTGCCATTGTTGTCCCGCAAAGTTTGTACTCCGAACCCTGCAACTACAGTTTAAATAAAGTTGTAACAGCATCACCTTACTGTTATAACAGCATCACCTTAGCTTGATCAACACATGTATTTCAACTAACTCGTAAACAAATTATACATGCCATAGGTACCTAACTAATTAACATGATAACGTCCTAATGACTATTATAACATCTTTCCCTTTTTGAAGCTGAGTGGGATCTAATAATAAAACGATAACTATAACCTATAAATTAAATATATAAATAATAAAGGTCCGTGTCCGTTCTAAATACGATAACTAAATTTAGGACTATATGAACTACGATTAATAATTAAATAAATGTACGATATGAGTAATTCGTGTTCGTGGCAGTGTAATCCCGAACCTATTTCAGTACAAAGTCCTTTAGGTAGCTCGGAGGTTTCCGTGCTCTTCCAGATCTTCGTACAGGTTGTGCACCGTTATCTTCTGCAGCAGGTAAACATGTCATTTCCGTTCATGCTTTATTACTGCCAAATTCTTTAGAAGGGCTCGTTTGTTGTCCAGAGTTGCCCATGTCTAGCGGTGTCGAGTTATCCATAGCTGATCTCTGCTCGATGTCCGGAGATGCTTCCTTGGTTTTTCTTAGTTGCACTCTATTCCTTCTCAGTATACCATGTGGCGTCTCTATCTCATACGATCTCTGATCTAGACGTTTTCGCACCACACCTTTCTCCCACTCTTTTCTTCCCAAACGAAACGGCTTTATCCTAACCACATCTTCTCCCAAAGGGTTCAATTCGACAGCTCCCCTGTTGTAATACTTGGCTTGTTGTCTTTTCCGCTCCGCTAGTTTCTCTACCGTGGTACCGCTGTCAATCGATTGTGGTTGTAGCAGCTTCGCTGTTGTTGGCAACAAGGTTCTCGCCCGCCTATTCAAACAGGCTCTGGGCTGGACTGCTCTTCATGCTCGCGGAGGGGGTATTTCGATGGTCAAGAACCGCCAAAAATGCGTCTGACTTTGCTTTCTTCGACTTTCTTAGGATTTTCTTAGCTTCTTTTACAGCGCTTTCGGCTTTACCATTCGCTTGACTGTGGTATGGACTACAGGTGACGTGCTCGAAGTCCCATTCCTTAGTAAATATCTGGAAATCGTGTGCCACGAACTGCGGGCCATTGTCCGTTATCACCTGTTCGGGTATGGCGTGTCTCGCGAAATGACTCTTGATTTTCCTAATGACGTGTACTGAGGAGATATTCTTCAAGTGATCCAACTCAAAGAAATCACTAAAATAGTCAGCGGTAACTAGGTAATGTTTTCTCTCTAGTTCAAATAAGTCTATTTCTACACGTTGCCAGGGTCGATTTGGCACTTCATGACTACATAAAGTTTCCTTTGGCTGACTTCTCTCATACTTACGACAGGCTTCGCACGTTGACACATGGTTCTTGATATCGTTGAACATACCGGGCCAGTAAAGGCACTCTCGAGCTCGATTAAGGCAACCATTTACTCTCAGGTGGCAGTTGTGGACTTTTCCCAGCATCTTGCTTCTCATTGATTGCAGGATAACCACTCTTTCTCCTCTAAACACTAGACCATCTTGCATCGACTTCTCGTCTCGGATGTTGAAGTAGGGTGCCACCACATTTGGAAGATCTTCTTTTTGCTCTGGCCACCCTTGCCGAATCACCGTCGTCAAGACTTGGAGGGACTCGTCGCTTTTTGTTTCTCGTTGTATTTCCTTTAACCGTTCGTCGGAAACTGTTTGGCAGGTACTTTATCATGTTGATGGTCTCGAACTCTGGACCACTTTTCCCATCACCAGGGATGCTCGCTCTGGACACTCTGGTTTCCTCAAAATACTTTCCAGAGGTTTATGATCACTGTAAATGGTAACTTTTCTGCCAAACGTGTAGTCGTTAAATTTCTCGACCGCATAAACGATGGCCAACATTTCCTTCTCTATCTGAGCATATCTTGTTTCTTTCTCAGATAGTGTTCGGCTGGCATATGCAATCGGATGACCATTCTGCATTAGGGCCACTCCCAAACCAGTCTGACTGCTATCGCATTGGATCTCAAGACTTTCTGATGGCTTATAGTACGCGAGGACTGGGGTCGTTGCGATTAAATGCTTCACTTCATTCCATGCTTTCTCGTGTATTTCCAACCAGCACCACGCCGACTCTTTGTGTGTTAGATCACGCAAGGGCTTCATAACCTCCGACAGGTTGGGTAGGAAACGACTTAGGTAATTCACCATTCCGTTCAAACGTAAGATTTCTTCAGGAGTGGTGGGTCGTGGCATCTGCATAATCGCCTTCACTTTACCTGGGTCGACTTTCAAACCTTCATTGGTGAGAAGATGACCATGGAATGAGACCTCTTTACACTTGAACTCCAATTTGTCCTTGGTCAACTTAATTCAACTTAATGCTCTTTTCTTTACACCGTTCCAGTAGCCTCTCGAAGTTCTGGTCGTCTTTCTCGTTGGTTCCGTAGACAAGGATGTCATCTGCGATACACCTCACTCCTTCCAGTCCCAGGAGCTCTTGGTTGAGACGTTCCTGGAAAATCTCACTGGACACGTTTAAACCAAAGGG